CCCGATGTGGGACTCGATCCCAGGACCCTGGGATCATGACCCGAGCCGAAGGCAGCCGCTCAACCGACTGAGCCACCCAGGCGCCCTATGCAGAGCACTCTTGCCAGAGTTCCTGATCTACTGGAATCTGCATACCCTTGATATTAAGAAGGGAGAAGATCATCGCCACAAAACAAGAAACTAGAGAATTAAAAGAAATTTATGATTCAGAAATGTTCTAGAGTAAGTCAGATTCAACTCAAACTTTTATTCCTTCCATGTCTACATTTTGGGCAATAAGAACAGATATTCTGAATGACAACAGTATCTCAAAGAAAGATTCCCTAACTTCCTGTACAATCTCAGCATGTTCCAAAGCCAAAGGGCAAGTCAACTCATTTAAATGTATATAAACATGAGGTTGAATGATAGGTTTTCTGGAAAGAGATATCTCAGAATTTTAAGTGTATTTATTCCCCATTCTTTGAGGATCATGGTTAACTGAGAGAATACCAGTGGGAAAGAATTTCATAGAAGTGAGCTCTTTTATTTTTTTTAATGACATAATTTAGTAGGTGAAATAAGGTTGTTTTTGTTTTTGCTTTTTTTTTTTTTTAAAGTAACCGGACTGCCCTTGAAAAAGAATGCCAACGCAGATAAAAACAAACAAAAAATGGACAAAGAATGTCAAAAGGAGAACAGAATTTATCTGGGAAGGACACCACCAGGGGAATTTGACAAATGGCCAAAAAAGGAATGATTAAATTCCTAACTTGAACAGAGGGTGGGTACGGACAGAAGCCAAGGTGGGAGGAGGGGCACTGGTGTCAGAGTTCTGTCCTTACCGGACAAACGCTCCCTGCCCTAGCTGCTTAAAGTCACTGCCATTTTGGGAAGACTGGCATCTTCTATGCTCATCTAGGGGCTCTGAGGCTCTCCTATCACCTCAGTCTTTAAAAACCAACAGCAAAAGTGTTTCTCTTAAACCTGACTACCAATTTATTCCTCACAGAGAATGGATAGAACCATCTGTCTGATGGAGGCCTTTTGGTATTTTCTTTAGCCATGGAGCTGGTACTTTTTCTGTTGGACCACCAGATAATGATTCTAGAGAACTCTCTCCTGTAAGCCAGCTGGTCCCCTCCAACATGTGCCCAGGGCCTTGGTGTCTACCTCCCTGGAGAAATTTACAAGTCCGACTTAGATTTCTAAGCCTGCTCCTGTGGAGCTTTTGTCACCCCCATCCACTGCCTCCTAGCTGGATGCATCACAGCATGAATTACTAGCCATTCAGTTGCCTCTTGGGTTCTTCTGGATGAGTGTCTTTGGAAAACGGAATGGTCACTACCACATTTTCTCACTGAGCACCACACCACTCGAATGGGCATTTTTTGCATTCCCTACATATTGTGAGAGCAGAATCTGGAGAATGGGGTCTGAAAAGACACAGGAAGGAGAGATTTCCAGGGAAGCCATCTGCAGCTCTGAAGGACTTTCTCCTATAGTTGAATATGAGCTATCTCCCTCCAGTCTGAAAGAATCAGAACACTTCTGATTTTTATTTGGATTGCTCAAAACCCTTACATTAATCCTGAATTGCTTCTTGGCTCTAAATCGTGTATAAATAGCCTATAAGTTTAGAGGGCACTTTGCTTCTGTGTGCCCTAGGCCAACAGCTTTCAAACTTCTTGACTGCAACCCCAGTACAAAATGCATGTATGCTACAGCCTAGGACTCATACCCATGTACACGTGCATGTGCGCACATGTAGGCACATGTACGTCTCTGACGCAAAAGTATCACGAAACACTACTGAGCCTCACTACATACGATATAAAGGAATGAGAGAATGAGACACCCATTTTAACTCTTCCACCCAAGGAGGTACTTGGCATCTGATAAACTCTGACCATGTTTCCTCCCACTGTTGTTTAAAATCAGAAGCATGGCTTGCAGCTGCCGGTCCCAGAGTTCAAAGAGAAGGGCACCAGCTTGGGATGATGTCCACAGAAGATGGCAGTACACGTACAAGCCTGTGTAGCCCACTTTCCTTCTGGGAATCAATTTGAGGTACGAAGGGGAACTGACAGCAGCCTCTTGGCAGAGCACTGAGTCCAGGTGCTATGGGCATCTGTTGCTCACCTCCCTGGGCCCTTAGGACAAGGAAACCAGGGCTCTGCTGAGAAAAGCAATTACCATGGTCTGCCTTGGGCTGTCCCTAGAGTGGAACTGGTGGTGAGGGGCCGATGAAGGTAAGGCGGGGAGAGATGTGCCTGTGGAGTCTATAAGCAGCTGTCCATCTGGCCAAAGATGGGTCACTCAAGTTCATGATAAAGCAATGGTGGGGAGCAGGCACAAGGGACAGGGAAAGCAAGGGAACATCAATAAGATGGGCAAAGAAAGCAGAACACTTAAGATGACTCAGAGAGTCTCATTTTATCCATCCTAGTGAGTTCCACATAGTCATTAGGAAATTCAAATAAAACCCACACTAAGGTACTACTAGGCTCCTCTCACAGTGCCCCCCCCCACCCCACACACACACCTGATCATGCCAAGTGTCAGTGAAGATGTGAAGCAACCAGAACTCTTACATCTCAGGTGGGGATGCAAAATGAGAATACCACTTTAGAAACAGGTTGGTGGCTTTTTATAATCATATTCTATCACATTCAACCCAGCAATCCTACTCCTAGGTATTCACCCATGAGAAAGAAAAACTTATGTTTACATGAATGTTTATAGAAGTTTTATTCATTACCACACAGAACTGGAAACAACTTTAATGTCTTTCAACTGGTGAATGAATAAACAAACTAGGGCACATCCACATAATGGAATACTACTCAGAAATTTAAAAAAAAAAAAAAGGAACGTCTGCTGATATTCAACAACATTGGTGATTCTCAAATGCATGATTCTAAGTAAAAGAAGCCAAACTCAAAAGACTATCTACTGTATAATTCCAATCACATGAAAATCCAGAAAAGGCAAAACAGGAGAAAGAAATCAGACTGGTCTGCCAGTGATTTGGGGTGGGAGAATGGTTGGCTACAAAAAGGCCATCAAGGAAATATTTTGGGGTGACAGTCCTCTATCTTGATTATGGTGGTAGTTACACAACCGCATACCCCTATCAAAACTCACAGAACTGCATACCAAAACGGGTAAATTTTACTATACATAAATTAGACCTCAATAAAAAAAAATAAATGTGAAAAAAATGCATAGTGGGAAGAGCCTGTCCTTTTTATTCAAATATACATGGACTGGTTCAAACATAGCTCTACCATTTTACTATCTGTGTGATCTGAGCCAAGTTACTAAATTCTCTGCACCTCTGTACTCTCATAGGCACCAGGGGGAATGATACCTACCACAAAGAGATATGGCAATAGATAGATAGATAGATAAATCAATTAATTAATTACATTTTATATATATATATATATATAATTTAGGGTTATGCAAACCAGTACTATGGCCACTAGCCACATATGGCTACTGAGCACTTGAAATGTGGCCAGTAGGACTAAGGAGCTGAAGTTTAACTGTATTTTATTTGAACCAATTTGAACTTCAATTTAAAAACCAACACCCGGGCGCCTGGGTGGCTCAGTTGGTTAAGCGACTGCTTTCGGCTCAGGTCATGATCCTGGAGTCCCTGGATCGAGTCCCGCGTCGGGCTCCCTGCTCGGCAGGGAGTCTGCTTCTCCCTCTGACCCTCCCCCCTCTCATGTGCTCTCTCTCTCTCTCATTCTCTCTGTCTCAAATAAATAAATAAAATCTTTAAAAACCAACACCCAATTCTGTTATTGGCAAACTTTTAAGTATGTTTGGAATAACTTGGGTATGTGAATCTACTTTTTCGACTGCACATTTTATGAAATGTAAATACTGATCAAGTATCTCTGATGAAAATTTAGCATATGAATTGAGATATGGGGGAAGTGTAAAATACACTCAGAATTTTGGAGCTTTAGTATGGAAAAATATAAAATATCTCATTAGTAATCTTTCAAATGGTACACATACTAAAATGATAATATTTTCGGTATTTTGGTTAAATAAAATATATTATTATAATTAACTTCACCTGTTTCTTTTACTTTAAAAAATGTGGGTGGTAGAACATTTAGAAGTGCATCTGTAGCCGACATAATATATTTTTCAACAATACCGGTCTTAGACATTACCTGGTATGCTGTTGTTATTATTATAATGAGGTATGAGTTGGATGTTTTACATCCAGGAAAATATTGAAGAAAATGCATCCAACCCGCAGCTCAGAGCAATGTTTCCATAAAATAACTGAGGGTGTTGGAAAGAATATTTGTTTCTTGATTTATCAGTGGAAAGCAACTAAGAAGAAATGTAGTTTGGAGTTAGTGATGTGAAGAAACCACAACAAAGCTCTACGTGAAAAGAGTATCACAGAATAATGGTGAACACACATAATAGATTATATTCATTGTCATCATCAGACTTGTTTTGATGGAACAGGCTCTGACACCTTAAAAAAGAAATTGTTATTTGGCCTTTAAGAATTACTTTCTCACCTGATTATGTAATTACAGCCATGACAATATTGTACTTGGAAGCAGGGATTAAAGGAAGAATGAGAAGAGACTCTCTACAGAAGGAGACTGCTCCAACAGACCAAGAAATAAACAATGTCTCTGCTTTATTCAGTTTTAGGGAGTTCAGAGGGGGTGGATTCCCACCCACTGGCTTCCAAGGTCTTTTAGTGCCAAGACCTACAGGGTGAATTCTCAAGTAAGTTCTCATTTTCTTTGTCCCCTTCCCATGGTCAAGAAGAAGCCTGAGAGGAGTGCAAAATGCAAGATGGAGTGATACACTAGTAAATAGATTTAAGTGGCTATGCTCATCCCGAGCCAACTCACATCTGTGTTACCTAAAGGCATCTCTGACATTTCAGACAAGGTTAAATAGGTGTAATATCCTAACACATCATAATATAAAGTTATACATTAACTTGGCATAGGAGACTGCATCATACATCCAAATATCATTTTTAGGTATGTAGATGTAGGGGAAAAACAGAGAGAAAAATTTGCCCATCAAATAAATGCCCAACTCTTCAATTCAGCTCTTTACTAGTATCTTTGCAATATTTATCCCCACTGTTCCCCAAAGTCACTCAACATTCCATGAAAATGGGCATCTACTCATCAGACTCTGGTTCTCATCTCATGCTGGGATTCCACCAGACATGCCTTTCTTCCAAGCTCCAGTAATTCATCCTTTAAGCCAACTCATCTCCAAGTCCCCCCAAATTCCTCAAGTTAGATTTAACCTTCCTCTTTAGTGATTCTACAACATGGAAAATCACAGCTTTAATACAAGTTAGTTTGTGATCACTAACTACCCTAATAGGGTCATGTATCTTTCCAGTAGATTGTGAGTCTCATGCACCACCTTCATCTCATCAAACAAAATATACTGTATGAAAGTGCATTAATTTAGTTGAATTGAATGTGAAAGCCTCCTAGTTTTCCCAGATGCATTACTCAAGGGCATTCAGAGTCCAGAAAAATTATAGTCTCTTTGCTAACTGGCCATATGGCACACAATCTCAGTTTCTATGAGAATCTCCAGTGAAGGAGGTTAAAAACTAATGACCCCTAGAGACCAATTAAATTCGCTTTATCTCCAAATCACAGAATGCATCTCCAGGTACAAAACAGCAACACCCTCTAAAAACCTTCAATATGGTCATGGTCTAGATAGTGTCCGGATATGATTTATTCTCTTGGTATTAAATGCCTTCTAGAATCTAAACTCCAACCACCTATCTGGCACTCATTCTTGTACCTGATGAGCATCTATTTGATGCAATTAGATTGGCTAGCTCATGGTCTTATAAATCTACACCATCCATCTAGTTATTGACTCATGCAGGTCTTAAAATATGGAATGTCTTCCACTTCTTCCTCTGCAGGGCAAAAAGATGATAATCAGATTGGTAACATTGCAAAAAAAGAACTGGGCATATACAGCTCATCCCCAGGTCCACTATTTTGGGGATTTGCCTGCAAAGATCACGTTCTCTGTACCTCACTGCCGTGGTGTTCTAGGAAGAGGCTTCCACAAGAGAGCTTCTGATTTATTATTTGTGCATGTGACTAGATGGGTGCATCCAGGTCTGGCAGGCAGTATTAGCAAGCCCACTTGCTCCTACATAACTTTTAAAAGCAATAAAGATGACATTTGATCTCCACTTGTCTCACCCTTTGTCTCTGTTTCAACTGACTACAGTCTGGGCAGGTAAAAAAAGGAACTTTGTTCACAGACTTCTTCAGAGCCCAATAAACTAGGTTGCAAGCTTCCAGAGGGTAAGAATCGGTATCTCTTCTGCCTTCCTCATGGACTTTAACACAAAGCAGGATCCCAATGAACCCGGATAAAATTAAATGAGAACAAACTCAACACAACTGGTTTTTAGAGAAGTTGCCTGGCCTTGTATGTCTTGCTTCTGTATACATGGAATGACACCATGCATTTTCCCCCCAAAAGACCAAAAATGCATGACTGACTTCAGCAAGACCAAAAAATACATATATCTAGGCATATTCTTCATTTTGATCCATGCTCCACTTCAGATCAGTGTCTCACTATTCACAATGACCAAGGTGCTCTTTATTACAAAAAGAACAGCACAGTACCAAACTCACCTGCCTGATTGATAGGGTCAGAGACACAGGGATTTCTCAACTGGAAGGTCATCTGCAGCAATGTCTACCCTGTCCTACTGAGGTCTGACCACAGGAGTATGAATAATCGTCCCATCTCTATAGCCTCACTTATGCGAACAGGAACCTGGTTCCAATGGCCTCAGTCCTAGGAACATTTCATCTAAACCTTCCCACCAGAGATGACTTACTGCCCAATAACAAAGGGTATTTTTGCCTCCAGGTATGATTAGAGGCATGTAAAGGTAAGCTTCCCAAAGCCCTTTACACACCTTAGTCATCTTTACCAGTTTTTGTAATTCTAAGAAAAAATCTGGGCCATTTCTCAAACGGGGACCTTGTTGTTAAGGGAATCAGCACTTGTCAACAATGTCCTAGGAAATCACGGTATTTCTACTGATTCTGTTTTACACCCAGTGCCATTCACTTCTCTCTCTCTCTCTTTTTTAGTGTACTTCTATTCACCCCCAGATCTTCGTGCAGTCCTCTTACCTAATAAAATAACTAGAATCTTTTACCACTCTCAGTAACTTCGATACCAGCGTAGGGATGCTAGAACTTTGCCAAGCACTGCTCAGAAGACACCACAATAAACCAGGAGCCCCTACACTGATCTCTCTATTCTGAAAGCCGCTCCCATGCCTCAAAGATGAAAACTCGTAAGGGAGCAGCTCACCCACACCATCTTAAGCTACTGCTCATGACAGACAACTCCTCCCTCCATGAATGAATGACCTCCACTAGCGTAGCAGGTGTAGGTTTGACCACCAGTCACTAGTGAATGCTGGATAATGAAATACACCCCTTTACTCAAATCAATCCATCATACCAACAAGGTGAGCCCTGTGGCCAGGACCATCAAAGATCATACGCGGCCATTAGAGACATAAAAAGTGACCCAGGCTTAAGGTCACTGAAACAACTCATTTTTCTCTAGTTCCTCTGTGGAGTCACTTGGTTTCCTAGATAAATTAATTCTTTAACTGGTGATCACATTTAAAAACAAAATCTCAATATAACTGAAAACTCAGTAAGGTGATCATATTAAATAACAACTCAAAGTAAGTCAAGGTCAGTTCTTCACCATACTCCGATGTTGGCATCTGGTGGCATTTTAGGGAAACCCTCATCCCCAGCACTGATATTCACTTTTCTTTTCCTGTAAAACTTGTTCATAAGATGTTATTTTCCAAATAATTTAAGATATACTAATAGATACGTGCCTCCACTCAGAGTCCGTAGAGTTGAAAAAGGGACTTAAGCGAGCCCACGTAGGTCAAATACTTGGGCATCTGGCTCATAATCGTGCTCATCCACAAAAGAACATTCACTTCAGCCACCATCTATTCAAGTTTGCGGAGTCAACCACCACTCTAGATGCTTTACTTATGTTCTCTCTCATTCTCACAACCATCTCATTAGGCAAATATTTTATCCCTGTTTCACAGGTGAGGAGATGGAGGCACAGGGAAGCTAAGTTCCTTGCCCGAAGTCACACAATTGCAAGGATACAGCTGCCATCTGAACCCAGGACTGGCTGACTGCAATGCTCGTGTTTATCCCATTAAAACTCCTCCAAAAGAGAGGCAGACCCAGGTGCAGGATCATCTTGGCTACATACCTCATACAATTCAATAATAATGTTTCCCATTAGACCTCGGCTACTCTTAATGTTCTCCATGGCCAGGGTGAAGTAGATGCCACGCGTGTCTGAGATGTAGAGGTTGTACGTGTCATTCTGGTTCCATTCTTGGACGGCTGCAAACACTTGGTTCTCATCAGTACTGATGATGTGCATGTCCTGGAAGAAGACAGAACACCTGTAAGGCAGATCTCCATATCCCTCTGCCCATGGGGACCCAGAGTAATTACCATGACTTATGAATGGTGGAGAAAAAGCCTGAGTTATAGGCGATGTTAAACAATTCTGTGTCGGACCAAGGCTATAAATTAAGAGCTTCGTGATTTCTGTTCCTTGCTAAATGACAGTAAGATGGGTGTAAGGGGCTTTGGTGGGTATCATTTTCCATGGCTTCAAGGGGTTCATCCACTTTCATTTTTTATTTTTATATCTGAAAGTTAGTGTTAGCGCTAACGGAGACATACAGCCTTGCCAGAGGAAACTCACACATGCAAAGACAGGGCTTATCCCTTCTTTAGATCTTCATTTACATTTCCAAACTTTTTAGTGTAGTGGTTGTGAAACTTCTCTTCAGGATCTTCAGAGTCATAGGGATTTCGAGAAGGGTGGCAGGGAGGCAGAGCCAGTGGGCGAGGCTCTGGGCTTCCAGCTCTCTTTCAACCAGAGCGGCACCCGTTGAATCTGTTTTATCCTGGAGTTCTGCGTGATATTTGGGGAGTAAAAAGTGAGGGAGGTTCTGCCGCTAATAAAATAATATTTGAAAATCACTGATAATTGCAGAAAGGATACTCAACCTGGAATTTAGTGTTCTGGGTCCTAGTAGGAACTCTGCTAGAAGTTAGCTATATGATGCAGGATGTATCTGTGTCCCTGAGCTTCAATTTTCTCACCAAAATACTGAAGAGGTTGGGCTACTGCTAAAAATAGCTAACATCTGAGCACTATTCTAAGTCATCTAAATGTATTATTTCAGTAAAAATCCAAATAATTCTACAACAGAGGTAGTAGTATTCCCATTTTACTGAGGAATAAACTAAGGTACGCAGAGGTTTGCCAACTTGCTTCATATTACATAACCAGTTAGTGGCAGAACCAAGTGTTGAACCTCTGTTGTAGGGCTCTAACCTAATTGTGAGCTTCTAACCATTTGGACATAGAGCCTCCGGATCAGAAGTTGCAATCCTATGACCCATGTGATGAATGTGAATCACAAATGTTTGGTCTGACCACAGCCTCTACTGAATACCTGATGGTGTAGTCTTTTAGGTGAAGTCAGCTCTCAGGAAGACTCAGCCTTAAGTACCCAAATGTTCTTATAACCTGCCTCTTACATATTCATGTTAACTTCCTGGTCCCTGAAGTCACTTTAGTTTGTATACTTGGACTAGAACATTTCTAAAATCAAATCTAATCAGTTCACAATTCAAAAGAGTTTATAAAAGCCAGTTTTCGTATGTGGCTAGGCGCCGTACAAAGATGATCACAAACTCAAGTCCTTCCCTAAGGAATTCATGCTGTCAGGAGGAAATGTTGACACAGATAAACACTGGACATAATGGACACAGTTAAAAAATTCATAACTACACAGGTATATATGGCAAAGAGTAATGGCATCCTGAGAAGGCAGGAGAGGACCCTGGTCACCGTGGTGGCAAGCATTCATAGTAGGGGCATGGGCAATTGGAGCTGACAGTGAGTAAATCACCAGGCTGGGTCTAGCTTTTACCTTGTTTGACCAACCTTTCCCAGAAATGATTTCAGCAATAAAAGGAGGTAGCAATGTTTATAATATCACAACTGTGGAGCGCTACTCCAAGACATTTTTCAAAAGGAGCAAGCTCATTCAAGTTGGACAACGAAGAGGTGGGAAAAGTGAGAAGCTATCTGGATCTTTTTATTGGAGAATTTGTCAGATCTCAGCGTCTGGCCTTGAACTCCCTAGGTCACCTTGACAGACCTCACTAGCTCATTCGTGCTTACACACCTTTTAGAATTGCAGGATCCCCCACTGAGCTGCTCGAAAACGGAAATAAGGCTTCCTCTTAAAAACCCTGTGATGAAATTGTGTTGTGTTGGTGTGGAATGAAAGCCCAAGAACCCAGTAGGAGGGGAAACAGCAGCTGCAGGAAATACAGATTAAATTCATTTACCCTGTTAAAAATGCAGTAGAAATGCTGGGCTTTTCCCAGATGTTTTGGTTATAAAAATGAATGAGCTAAGTTATTTTAGACTAAACTAATGTAAAAGAAGTGGAAACAACTTAAAACACGGGGGCATGGTCGGGATGAAAGGTAGCCAGCTTAGCCGTGAGTGTGGGGTGTATCGCCTGGGATGCAGGCACTGTAGGCTCTGGGGGACAGGGTGCTCTGTAGCAGCCAGGACTCTGCGAAGTCGGCTTGAAAAGTTCTTAATTTCCTTAAGTCACTTAGCTAATAAATGGTATTACTAATATTTAAACCCAAGACTATCTGAATCAAGAAGCTAAACTGTGTTATCAGTGGGAGTATAACTCTATATGCATCAAAATGACCTGGAGATCTTAAGAGCACACAGACTCCCATGTCCCACTGCCTGAGGTTCTGAGTCAGTGTGTCTGGTTGTGAAGGCTTAAATCCTACCATCTGAACCAGCCTTCCAGACAAGTCAGGTGCATGCAGTCTGGGTCATCACTCTTTGAAAAAGCTCTGAACTACGTGTCCTCTCTCCAAATAGATCTTCTAGTTGAATAGGGATCAACACATAATAACCAGAATACTAAATGTTCAAGAAGAAATAAAAGCATTTTCAGTAACATTGATCAAATAGGGATCTGAATGATAATTAAGTGTATTTCTTGAATCCTGTGATCTCAATCTAACCCCAAAGCATGTGCCACCTCCTTCCAAAAAAAAAAATCAAAGACATTCTTCCTACTCCTGAGAACATGCAGGGTGAGATCTGACTGGTGATGAAGAGAGACACCAAAGTGGGGGAAAAGCAGTAAGTAAATTCTGATTGGGACTTTACTAAACTGGAACTTGGACAGCATCAGACATAGCCACATTCATGTTTTTATTTGGAGAACAATTATAAATAACACTCTCCCTATGCCCTCCCATTAATCTGGAGGAATCATAGCTGCCTTTCGCAAACCTAAACGTGAGACTTCGTAGGTAAACAATGGTGAAAACACTTCCCTGTGATTGAAACATTTTCGTGTAATCTGGGCTGAATGTAACTGCATTCATTATAAAAACACATATGCTATTCAGCATCAGCCATGCACCAGACGTTATAACAGAAATGCAGAGAGGACCAAGATGTAGAACCTGACCTCAAGCAGATGCCCAGTGGTGGTGGGAATGTCATACACTCTTGGCCTTCTCTGAAGCTGACTAAGGTCCCCGGTACAGGTACTGATAGGAATACAAAGGCTTATAGATGGGGGTGGGGGGGGACAATCCATGGAAATGTGTGGAACCTGAGTGGCTTGAAAGCAGTTTTTCCCTGAGAAAGGTGAGGACAGACAGTGGCCACACTTACGGGGCTCTGCATGGCACACCTAAGTTTTACCCAGAAGGAAATACAAAACTAGCACAAGATTTTAAGCAGGAAAAAGGGAGAATTAGAATTGACCAGTGCAGAGATTTGGTTGGGGAAGACCAGCTTCATTGTGTGATCACATTTGTCACAGAGGCAGTGTGAAAGGTGGATTTCGGTGGGGCAGGGGGAAGGCTTACGAGGTGGCTGTAACAATCTCAGGGAGGGCCTAAACTAATGAAGCAGGTCTTCCATGAGAACCCTAAGAAATGGACTGGTGAGATATCAGAGAGGCAGAACCCATAGGGGATAAAGGAAGAGGGCATATCTTTAATATGTCAGATATCTGACTTACAAAATCCTCTGCTTCTTATTAGTGTGCTCATACAATCATAATCAAATACTCATAATTAAATATGTGTGTAATTATTTATTCTATGCCAGTCTTTCTCATTAGAGCCCATAAGCTACCAGAGGGCAGACACTGTGTCTTTCTTATGTATCACTTCATTTCTAGCACTTACTAAGTATCGATAGCACATGGTAGCTATCCAATAAAAGTTTCTGTATGAATGAATAGATGGAATAAGTAAACACAGGAGAAGGATGGAATTTTAGGGATATAATATAAGGTAGAGAGGCTGAGCTCAGTTCTAGAGTTGTTTTGTTTTTTTTTTAAGATTTATTTATTTGAAAGAGAGAGAATGAGAGAGAGCACATGAGGGGGGGAGGGTCAGAGGGAGAAGCAGACTCCCTGCTGAGCAAGGAGCCCGATGCAGGACTCGATCCTGGGACTCCAGGATCATGACCTGAGCCGAAGGCAGTCGCTTAACCAACTGAGCCACCCAAGCGCCCCTCAGTTATAGTTTTAAAATGGGATCTTTCAGGGGAGGTACTTCAAAAAAGCAGTCCAGGGTTCAGTGAGTATGGGATGGGACTATGGATATAGACATCACCAATATGAAGAGAAGGGATAAGGTCACCTAGGAACCATGCAGAATGCCAGGAGAACTTAGAATCATCAACATTTAAGGGTGGCAGGGGAAAGAGATTCAGAAAAATGAATCAGAATAAAATACTCCACAGGGAAGAGTATCAGGTATGGATTCTTTTCCAACAGTGTCAAAAGCTCCAGAAAAGTTTAAAAAAAAAAAAAACAAGATAAAGTTGTAGAAATGTCTATTGGATTTGGCATGGAGGTGCTCCCTGGTAACAATGGCTAGAGGATTTTTGGTGGAATAGTGGAGAGAGGGGTGTGGGAAAGCAGAAGGCAGCTGACAGTGGGTTGAAGAGAGGATAGGAAGCGACAAAAGAAATTAGAATTACAGATAACATTTTAAGAGTGTGACTGCGACACAGCAAAGAAGGATAAATCAGTATTTGGGGAAATGTAAAAATTAAGGAAAACTGTCCTAAGGAAATTAAAGAAAAGGTTAATATCACTGTCATTATCATTATAATAAATTTTCTCAAGCATATTTCCCTCTCCTCCCTTTTATTATTCAAAGTGGGATTAAACATTCTACTTTCAACTAAAAGCAAACCCAGACTTAGGTAGGGAGAGCCTTTATTTGCAAGACTATTGCAATAGGGAGAACACTCTGGCTATCATATCTGCAAGCCCCTCAGAGTGAAAGCAGGAAAGAATTATTTTTATGTAGAGAAAGTAAAACAAGGCTAGAGAGAACTGGGTGTGGGGAGCAGGGTGAGCAGGTGGCGCAAGAGGGGGCCATTGAACAGGAAACCGTCCTCCTTACAGTCAGGTGACTTTCAGGAGTATGGTTAACAGGGGTTGTTCTGAGTTCTAGTGCCTGCTTGAACACCCAGGAGTGGGTCAAAATTCAGGCGCTAGGCAGGGAAGGTGAAAAGCCAGACTAAGTCTGGTCAAGTCAAATTAGCCAGCATTTTGTCCAGATTGTCCCCCAGTGGGGACAAAGAGTTCAGTTAACCATTTATAAATAAAGAGTGAGGATTTGGTCCCATCAAAGGTAAATAGGCAGGTTTCTGCATCTTAGCGAGGCACATGGGGGAAGAGTGGTTTTTTGCAGTGAGCCACTTCCAGGAACACAAAAGAGTTGGGTATTTCTTATACCTCACTGTTCTCCAGAAGCACTGGGCTCAGTGAAGTTCAATGGTACTACGATGCCCATTTCACAGATAAGAAGACCTGGGCTCCTGGATAAGCAAGTGGCAGAGAGGGAAAGAAAGCTAAGGGCTTCTTGCTCAGAAGCTCCATTGCCTTTAAGCCAGGCTACCATGGCTCCCTGTCATCTGCCTCCTTGCCCCCTGCTGGTATGTGCCTTCCATGTCCCACCCTTCCTCCCCCCAACCCATGCCCAGGGACTGGTTATGGAGGACTCAGCACAAGGTTGCCGCTCCTAATAATGCCACTCATTATTAATGGTGTTCATTTCATTCTCTGCAAAACACTCCAAGCCACGGAGTGCCCCAGGGGAGCATGTTCTGAACAGACAGGCTGGGAGGAGAGGTGTGAGGGCAGTGATGACAGGGAGCTTCTCCTTGTTCTTGTTTTTAAGCAAGATGCCCAACAGCAGCCGCAGCTCCTGGAACAGCAACAACTTGCTCAAAAGCCATTTCCATTTTTAAACACTCCCACCCACTCTGTCCTCACCTCCTCGGCCTAGGCTAGGAAAATCTGAGCCAATGCTGGCTAATAAAGGGGATCGATAACCATCCAGCTATTTTCACAGCAGCCCTCATATTAATGAAGCTGCTCTGGATGGACTTCTATAAAAGGGGCCGCATGGATGGTACTCCACCACGATAAATTGCCATGGGGTTGCTGATCGTTAATGGAGTGTTCCAGGGTTGTGATCAATCCCAGGCTTCATTTGTCCCCACCTGCAGCCACACTGCCCAGGGGAGCAAACTGTTTGTTTTCCTCGGAAGGTTAAAAATACATAAGATATGCACACAATGCAGAGACAGAACAGACCTTACACAAGGGATATGGTTTGGAAAGTTCCCGAAATGCTTCTCCTGAGCCAATACATGGAAATCATCAAGTTACTGCAAGGGGTCTTTCTCCTTCAGAAAGAACATGATTACGAACTTCCCTTTCCTCATCTTTTTCAAGCAAGGATACTCCTTTCCTGCTTGGGATTAGAATATCTGATGGGTACATCCTCTAATCACAATGCTATATAATGGTCTCATACCAACCAGTCACAGAGAGGGTAGAGAAAATGAGAAATTGATCCCATGGCCCCCGAGGCTACTTAATACAGTCCCTGCTCATCCCATCAGCCTCCTTTCTCTCTCTCTGCAACCCAGTCTCTTGAGATGATGTTTCATTTTGTTGAATGAACCATATTCTCTCTCTTAAAATAGGGCCTGTTTGTGTCTTTTCTATTTGTTTTCCAACCCTTGTTTGCAGGGTTAACTCCTTAATCCTCTTATATCATCTTAAACCTTACTTTCTTAGGAAACTTGTCCTCAGTATCCATATAGGTAAGCTCCACCTATTATGTCACAATGGTCCTTGAACTTCTATCCCTATAACACTCCCTACACCTACAATTGTTCGTTCAATGTCTCTCTTCTCAACCAGAATATAAGCTCTATGAAGGCAGAGACCATTTGTGGCTTCTTTTCTACTCTCTCCATAGAGCTTAATTTAGTGCCTGGCACAGAGTAAAAGCCTAAATGGGAGAAAGAACAGTTCAATGGATGAATAAAAGAAGGATCAAACAAATGAATGGATTCATGCATGCTTATATGAATGAATGAATGAATGAATGAATGAATAAAACAACCAGGGGTAGACAGTTACCCACCTTCTTGTCCCATAATCCCTCCCACCTTGGTACTCATTTAGCCTTTCATGATGTTTCCCAGCACCAGCTTACAGGCCCAAATCTTTGCAACATTACATTTGAGATGTGTCCAACCAGAGACTTGACTTTTTTTTTGCAGCCTCATTAGGTGATGCAATTATATCCTGTCCATGTTCAGACTGAGGTTTTAAGATCCAGCTCCTCCAAGAAGTCATTGTTCACAAGGGATGGAGTCCACAGGGTAAGTTTTATGATTTTCCAATAGAGGAGTTAAAATGCCATCATTTGATATTAACGTTATAGTAAATTATTCCTTTTTAATTACTCATAGTGGCAGAAAGGAGCAGAAACATAGGCAGTGCATTTACATTTGGCTTTAAAATGTGGAGAGAAGCATGAACTCCACAAGACTCACCTGTGCACCTTTATGCACACATACAATAAAGTGTCTGGGCTCCCTCTGGGCCCTTCTGAGCCTGTCCCTCTATTTGGCAGTAAGGCCCTTGCAAGAGGGAGGAACTCCCAGAAGGGACTGAAGTGATACAGGATGTATGAGATACAGAGAATCAAAGCTCTTGCCTGTATACCCTGCTGAGAGAGGAATAGAGAACCCAGGTTCAGGGCCATCAGCAGAGGCCAGAGTCCCACAGTGGCAAGTCAGGTTCAATGCCAGCTTGTCTCCCAGGCAGAAGTCAAACTTCCCTGCCATCCAATGTGGTGGCCTCTCCCTGCTGCTTTGTCGGACAGGACCCAGGGCAGCAGGTTGGACATACCTTGGGCAGGGAGTACTTGGGCAGCTTTATCTGGGTGAAGGCCTCTCTCCGATAGGACACGTAGTAGCTGGCTCTTCCACCAGTTGTCACCTGGATCATAAGAGAAACACAGAGAAGTCAGATGGCACCAGGGATCATGGCCAAGTTGGAAAGTATTAGCTTCTCCATCAACAGCCACAATAGGTTTGTGATAACCTTTCAGAGAGTATCCCTTGCTGGCCCTGAGCCTCCAGTCCCACAGCACTGAGTTGCTCCCATGTCATGACACTTAGACAACAAATGAGCAATGACAACAGTCTTTCCCAGTGGTTGGCATTTTTGGTGAGAGCAGAGACTCTGTATTTGGTCACTGTGTTCTGCATATGTACACACCTAATAAATAGTTTCAACTGCAAACAGAAACTACTGATGTGGGTGGGATGTACCAAAGATTGATTTATTCTGCCTTAAAAGAAGTTTCTAATCCATTGTCATCATGACATGATTGTGAAATGGATTTTTTTTCTGAATCTAAATAACTACTATTGCTCAAAAGCTCTTGTTACTTTGAAATTAATTTCATTTCTGATCTGAGCACAATTTTTTTTCCTTCATATTTACAAATCCATGCATTGAGTGGTGCTTTTTGGTACTTTCCATGTGCAAGTTATTGAAAGGAATCGAGGGTCAGAGGAAGAACTGTGGATCGGGAAGTGAGAAATGCTGGGTCTGAGTCCCAGCTCCGCCATCTGATGGCTGGGGGAGTCAAGCTCTGTAATCTCACTTGGGAAGGATGGATTCTTATAGGAACCTGGAAGCCACTCCAAGAAATGGTCCTCTGGCCTGGGCTTGTTGAAAAGTCCCACCAACATGGCACAGCCCTGCAGATGGCTGCTCTCAGCCCAATCGTCCTAACTCGGGGGGACATTAATATTCACCAGAGAAGACACCAGAGGCTGTTCAGAGAAAATAGCAGGACGACAATAGCAACCCGGCCGCTGTGCCGAGGAGGCAATTACTGGAGGCCTCTGCTCTGTTCTCACCAAGCACTTGCTGGAGGCGGGCCGGTCCTCCCACTCCAGTCCAAACCTGGCGCCCATCCACAGCGGCTGTGGGGAACAGGCGAGGTGTCACATCTCTATTGAAAACCACCCATTGCTCCTCACTCCAAGAGATGGCATCTCCCATGGCTCTCCCGAGCTCTGCACAGATTGGAAGCACACAGACTGCCAGGCAGAGCAAATGTTAAGAGTCCACATGAAGGCAGAACCTTGGAAAAAACTTGGTGCAAAGACTTAAGCTATGAATCAAGAGGAGAGACTGGTTTGGTCCCTAGCGTTCAGCTCTATCCCCACATCTCTATTTCCTAATTAGAGCCATTCATCTCTTGTATTCCAGGACTTTTGTTTTTCTGTTTTTTCTTAAGATTTTATTTATTCATTTGAAAGAGAGAGCACACAAGCAGGGAGAGGGGCAACGGGAGAGGGAGAAGCAGACTCCCCACCGAGCAGGGAGCCTGACACTGAGCTCGATCCCAGGACCCTGGGATCATGACCTGAGCCAAAGGCAGACAGTTACCAGACTGAGCCACCCAGGTGCCCCTGGTTTTTGTTTTTTTGATAAGGCATCTGTTCTGAATCTCTATCGTTCTGCACTGGCTTAGAAGTGGGGCATTCACATATTAAGATCAATGAGTTGCTAAGAAGTCTTTTTCTTTTTAAAATAAATTTCAACTGCATAGAATCAGATTAAAATATAATTTTTGGTACTAAATACACAATCACCACTAGTCCTTGTTTGATCCTATTTGTTTGTTTATTTTTCTTTCTCCCTCCCTTCCTTCCTTTCCTTCCTTCCTTCTCTCCTTCCTTCCTTTCCCTCTCTCTTTCTTATTTTTTTAAGTCCAGTCTAGCTAACATACAGTGTTATGTTAGTTTCAGGTATACAATATAGTGATTCAACAATTCTATATATTCCTCAGTGCTCATCAAGATAAGTATCTTCTTAATCCCCATCACCTATTTCACCATTCCCCCCACTCAGCTCCCCTCTGGCAACCATCTGTTTGTTCTTTGTAGTTAAGAGTCTGTTTTATGGTTTGTCTTTTCTTCTTTGTTCATTTGTTTGTTTCTTAAATTCCACATATGGATGAAATCATATGGTATTTGTTTTTCTCTAACTGACTTATTTCACTGAGCATAATACTCTCTAGATCCATCCATGTTGTTGCAAATGGTTAGATCTCATTATTTTTTATGGCTGAGTAATGTTCCATTGTATATATATACCACATCTTCTTTATCCACTCATCTATTGATGGACACTTGGGCTGCTTCCATAATTTGGCTCTTTTAAGTGATGCTGCAATAAACATAGGCATGCATATCATCTTTTTGAATTAGTGTTTTAATCATAAATTATAAAACCAACACATGTATGCCTCTCAACCCAAGAACTGGAACAGTAGTTTTTAAACTTGAGCTGCATCAGAATCACTTGGAAAGCTACTTAAAACTCAGACTTCTGGGCCCCACCTACAGAGTCTTTGAGTTGATCAATCTGGGGTGAGGTCCAAGAATTGTCTTTTCTTTTTTTTTTTTAATTTTATTTATTTATTTGAAAGAGAGAGAATGAGAGAGAGAGCACATGAGAGGGGGGAGGGTCAGAGGGAGAAGCAGGCTTCCCGCCGAGCAGGGAGACCCATGCGGGACTAGATCCTGGGACTCCAGGATCATGACCTGAGCCGAAGGCAGTAGCTTAACCAACTGAGCCACTCAGGCGCCCCAAGAATTGTCTTTTCTAATGAGTTTCCAGATAATGTTGATACTGCTGGTCTGGGGACCCCACTCCGAGCAGCTCAGAACTAGAACTTTAAAGTCAACTGACATACACTTCTAAAGTGCTTCCATGCCCTACACCTGTCCTGACCCTGGCCTCCTTCTCGGATATAGCTATTTTCCTGATTTTGTGTTGACAATGATGATAACTTTTTTTTTAATTGGGGTGAAATTCCTATTACATAAAAATAACCATCTGAAGATGTACAATTCGGTGACATTTAGCACATTTGCAGTGTTACACAACCTCTACCCAATTCTAAATGATTTTCATCACCCCCAAAGGAGATCTCATACCCAGTGATGAAGTTTTTAAACCCCAAAGTATACGCTCTGGTCACTTATCATATGCTTAAAAAACAGCTCTCTACAGGACACCGTAAATGTCACCAAGCTTGCCTTGGGGAAGAAAAGCGGCATCAGAGAAGGCTAGTCCTGTCACTGAATGCTGGCCAGAGCATAGCAATTAAAAGAAGCTTCTCCTGAGAAGATCCAGTTGGCTCCATAGAGAATAAGGTGAGAGCATCGCCAAGCATCTGATCAGCACCATAGAACAAAACTGGGTCCCTTTGGGTTTCCAAATCACCAAGAGCCAAAGGAGAACAGAGTGTTCTCCTCAACAGGGTGATGGACCCCACCAACTCGGGAACTCAGCCCAGCCATGCCTGATACAGCCCTGCACAGGCACAGACCCTCTCCCTCACAAGCTCACACACATAACCTGAGGGACTTTGTGTTTGAGTAATCAAGATGGAGATTACACTTCAGATACATGATGGGATGAACCAAACCACTAAGGGGCTGATGAAGCCCCAGGAGCCCAGAGGTTCTTCCAGTACCTATGATACCAGAGTATCTGCCAGTGATACCAAGCCAGCTCCTATAGTTCTGCTTTGTCCTGGTTGTATGCTTCTCTGTACCTGCTACCATCTAATTCATGGTTTAACCTCACTGTAAGACTCATGGGTTCATGGAAGGGTTTTGGATGCCACCAATTCATTACAATTTCTCTCTCCTCTCAACTCTGTTCTCTCTATTCCTACAGCCCTTTCAACATTTACTCTTGTGGGACACACAGTCCTTCAATCTTTCCTCCATGTCTTCTTATAAGATTTCAACCTCCCTGATTCCTAGGCAGTGCTGGTCTCGTGGCAAGTGATTGGTGAATACATAATAAAAGTAATGACACAATGGTCATTGATGGAGTTCATCTACTATGCTCCAGAACTGCATGTAGCCATTATATAAATTATCCAGTTTAATCCTCATATCAACCCTTCAGAGACTATAAGGTACTGAGTGACTTGCCCAAGATAAGACGAATTTGAACCTAGCAAAGTTTGGCTCTAGACCTGTTATCCCTCCTCCTATGACTAAGAAGGGTCTCCATTCACCTCACTCGTCTCACTATAACAACAATACATTTTCTTGACTCGAAGATGTTTTTTTAAAAACATACAAAAATCTCCGTGACTGGCATGTGTATATATGTTTATCTTTCTTCAAATTCCAGAAAACCTGTTATGACATTGATGATGTATCTTAAAAATGATGTCTTCATAGAAGAGAGGATGCGAGGTAATAAGAACAAGATTCATAATAACTACCATGCAATGAAAGCTTATTACACAGAAAATGGAACAATAAGCAGTTTATACACCACACTTTATTTGATTCTAATTATATCTGATGTAATATATAGTACCTCTACAGGTCAGGAAATTGAGGCTCAGAGTGGTCAACTAACCTGCTCGACATCACACAGCTTTTCATTGTTACAGCCAATCTGTGACCCTCCCCTGTGCCCAAGCCCTTAACTAGGAATAAGTGCACCCCCAAAATATCAGGTACAGAGCAGGGGTTCAATACTCATTGACGAACTGAATAATAAATTGCGGGTATTAATCCACTCAACCAGAAACACTTTGGGTGTGATTTCCTCTGTTGTTTAGTGACTAAACCATGGACTCACAGAGGAGCTCTCCATTCCCACCCAGTCCCTCGATGGTCACAGGAACTTATCTCCAGCACTCCCCACTTTGGCAGCCAGATCCTCAGGGTATTGGGAGGATACCAAGCTGATGCATTTGCTGCCTCTCCACTATTATTTGCATGATTCTCTGGCAAACACACAAGGAAAGAATGAAGTTTAGCGACTATTAATCTATTTTGATGAACTTTTCTCTTCCTCACAAGCAAATCTGCTGGCATTGTAAATCCCAGAGATTATTACCATTTTCCCTTTCAGTGACACCTTTTATTTTACATATGATGAATATCACC